TCTAAAAAGCTTACCCCCGCAGAGAGGAACTATGGAGTTGGAGACAGGGAGCTGTTGGCAGTGGTCCTCGCTCTGGAGGAATGGAGACATTGGCTGGAGGGCACAGTCCATCCATTCCGGATTCTTACTGACCACCGGAATTTGGAGCACATACGGGCAACGAAACTCTCATCAAGCCAGGTGGGCCCAAATTCTTACTCGCTTTCAATAAATTCTGTCCTACCACCCAGGATCCCAGAATGTGAAAGCGACACACTCTCCAGGATGCACCATACCGGAGGATCTGGGGGGTCTTATCCTGCCCTCGTCTCTCATTGTTGCACCTGTCATTTGGGAAGTGGACAAAGACATCCGCCTTGCGGCTCAGGAGGACCCAGCGCCTGCCAATGCCCCTCCGGGGCGCGTGTATGTACCCACCTGTATCCGTGACCGCCTGCTGATCTGGGCGCACAACACCCTTACGGCAGGGCACTCTGGTATTACGCGCACCCTGCATTCTCTAGCCCAAAAATACTGGTGGCCCACCTTGGCTTCTGATGTCTCCCGCTATGTCAACTCCTGTTCCGTATATGCCCAAATGAAGACACCTCGGAATGCCCCGACAGGCAAACTAGTTCCTCTCTCAGTGCCTCAGTGACCTTGCTCACACCTGTCCATAGACTTTGTCACCACCCTTCCACGTTCTGACAGCTTCACCACAGTCATGGTGGTCGTAGATCGGTTCTCCAAATAATGCAGTTTTCCTTCTGCTCTCCAGGTCGCTGAGGTCCTGTTCCAATAGGTCTTCCGGCATTATGGAAGACCTATTGGTCTCGGACCGTGGCCCCGATCTTCTCCAGGAAAGCCTTCCACACTCGGGAGGTTAATTGGGGGCCACGGTCCGAGACGATGTCCTCCGGAAGTCCATAATGCCGGAAGACCTGTTGGAACAGGACCCCAGCAACCTGGAGAGCAGAAGGAAGACCAGCCTCACTTCCGGGTATAGGCCTCAGTTGAATGGGCAGGTGGAGCGCATGAACCAGGAGCTGGGGAGGTTTCTTCGTTGCCACTGTCAGGACGGGCAGGGTGAGTTGGCGAGGTTTCTTCCCTGGGCAGAATATGCCCAGAACTCCCTCGTTCACTCCTCCATGGGGCTCACTCCCTTCCAGTGCGTCCCGGGGTACCAGCTGGCCCTGGCCCCTTGGATACACAGCCAGACCGATGCACCCGCTGTGGACGAGTGGTTCCACAGGGCCGGACAGGTCTGGGACGCCGCCCATGTCCATCTCCAGAGGGCCATTCGTCGGCAGAAGGACCAAGCCGACCGCCACCGCAGTGAGGCCCTGTATTCCAACCTGATGATCGTGTCTGGCTGTCCTGCAAGAAACAGAGCCCCCGGTTTGTGGGGCCGTTTAAGGTCCTCCGGCGGATAAATGAGGTATCAAACCGGCTGCTCCTTCCCCCTCCCTACCGTGTCTCACCCACTTTTCATCAGTACTTGTCACAATAATGCCCATTCGTCCCCTTCCCAGATACGCACCAGGTTGTACGCACTCCTAAGATCTAATTTTGTGAAGAAGCGCACCCCATGCATTGATTCGATAACAGAGGAAATGAGGGGTAGAGGGTAACTATAGTGAATGGTAGTTTGATTAAGTGCACGGTAATCAATGCAAGGGCGCAGACCCCCATCTTTCTTCTTCACGAAAAATAAAGTTGAGGAGGCGGGTGAAGTGGAGGGACGTATGAGACATATGTCTCCATAGCCTCAGTTTCAGCCTGCGACAGGGGATATACAGTGGGGAGAACAAGTATTTGATACACTTCCGATTTTGCAGGTTTTCCTACTTACAAAGCATGTAGAGGTCTATAATGTTTATCATAGGTACACTTCAACTGTGAGAGACGGAATCTCTAAAACAAAAATCCAGAAAATCACATTGTATGATTTTTAAGTAATTAATTTGCATTTTATTGCATGACATAAGTATTTGATACATCAGAAAAGCAGAACTTAATATTTGGTACAGAAACCTTTGTTTGCAATTACAGAGATCATACGTTTCCTGTAGGTCTTGACCAGGTTTGCACACACTGCAGCAGGGATTTTGGCCCACTCCTCCATACAGACCTTCTCCAGATCCTTCAGGTTTCGGGGCTGTCGCTGGGCAATACGGACTTTCAGCTCCCTCCAAAGATATTCTATTGGGTTCAGGTCTGGAGACTGGCTAGGCCACTCCAGGACCTTGAGATGCTTCTTACGGAGCCACTCCTTAGTTGCCCTGGCTGTGTGTTTCAGGACATTGTCATGCTGGAAGACCCAGCCACGACCCATCTTCAATGCTCTTACTGAGGGTGCAGTCGTCCCTTACAAGATCTCGCGATACATGGCCCCATCCATCCTCTCCTCAATACGGTGCAGTCGTCCTGTCCCCTTTGCAGAAAAGCATCCCCAAAGAATGATGTTTCCATCTCCATGCTTCACGGTTGGGATGGTGATCTTGGGGTTGTACTCATCCTTCTTCTTCCTCCAAACACGGCGAGTGGAGTTTAGACCAAAAAGCTCTATTTTTGTCTCATCAGACCACATGACCTTCTCCCATTCCTCCTCTGGATCATCCAGATGGTCATTGGCAAACTTCAGACGGGCCTGGATATGCGCTGGCTTGAGCAGGGGGACCTTGCGTGCGCTGCAGGATTTTAATCCATGACGGCGTAGTGTGTTACTAATGGTTTTCTTTGAGACTGTGTTCCCAGCTCTCTTCAGGTCATTGACCAGGTCCTGCCGTGTAGTTCTGGGCTGATCCCTCACCTTCCTCATGTTCATTGATGCCCCACGAGGTGAGATCTTGCATGGAGCCCCAGACTGAGGGTGATTGACCGTCATCTTGAACTTCTTCCATTTACTAATAATTGTGCCAACAGTTGTTGCCTTCTCACCAAGCTGCTTGCCTATTGTCCTGTAGCCCATCCCAGCCTTGTGCAGGTCTACAATTTTATCCCTGATGTCCTTACACAGCTCTCTGGTCTTGGCCATTGTGGAGAGGTTGGAGTCTGTTTGATTGAGTGTGTGGACAGGTGTCCTTTATACAGGTAACGAGTTCAAACAGGTGCAGTTAATACAGGTAATGAGTGGAGAACAGGAGGGCTTCTTAAAGAAAAACTAACAGGTCTGTGAGAGCCGGAATTCTTACTGGTTGGTAGGTGATCAAATACTTATGTCATGCAATAAAATGCAAATTAATTACTTAAAAATCATACAATGTGATTTTCTGGATCTCTACATGCTTTGTAAGTAGGAAAACCTGCAAAATCGGCAGTGTATCAAATACTTGTTCTCCCCACTGTATGTAGACTAAGAGCTAAAGACCTGTCCATAAAGTTCCCAGCTGCGCCTGAATCTACCAGCTCCTTAAACTGGAGAATTACCGGGTAATCAGGGAAGTTGATGTGGATGGTGAAATGCGCAGCAGAGGGCTCTGAACGAGTGTGGGTTTGCGCTACCTGGGGTGACGCGAGAGTGCCCTGCCTGCCGCCTCCAGAACCAGAAGAACTCTGACGACATCGTGCAGCAGAATGTCCTCTCTTGCCACAAGTGTGACACTGGATCTGTCGTCCTCCATTCTCCCAGAACGCTGCACCACCTAGCTCCATCAGAATGTGATCCAGGTTGAAGGGGGGTGAAACGAGCAGGCCCCTTCCAGGACGTCCTCTCAAAGCCAGCAGGTTGTCCTACCGGATGGCCATGTCCACCAGTTGGTTGAAGGTCAACGTGGTATCCTGGCAGGCTAGCTCCCTACGGACGTCCTCACGCAGGCTGCATCGGAAGTGGTCGATGAGGGCCCGCTCGTTCCACCCGGACCCAGCCGCTAGAGTTCTAAACTCCAGGGCAAATACTTGCGCGGTCCTCGTCCCCTGCCTCAGATGGACTAGACGCTCGCCCGCCTCTCTTCCTTCGGTGGGATGATCGAAGACTGCCCGGAAGAGGCGAGCAAACTCTCCGTAGTTGTCCAACGCGTCTCCTCCTTCACTCCAGACCGCGTTGGCCCACTCCAGGGCTTTCCCCTAGAGGCAGGAGACGAGGGCGGACACCTTCTCCCGATCCGATGGAGCAGGGCTGATAGTGGTGAAATAGAGGTCCAGCTGCAGGAGGAAACCCTGGCAGCGGGCCGCTGTCCCATTGTATTCCCGCGGTCGAGACAGGTGAATACCTCTGAGTGCTGGTGTGTGGGTGGCTGGATCCGGTCGCTCAGCTGGTTCTGCAGGGTCGGGTCCTCTCCTCTCCAGGCGCTGGACGGCCTGGAGAACCCGATCCATCGCTTCACCCAAGCTGGCTAATATGTTGTAACGCTCCCGGACCCGCTCAAAGACTCCAGGCATATTCCCCACTCCTGCTGACTCCATGCTGTTGGGTGTGTGATTCTGTAGCCGGTGATTTGTCAGGTGCAGGAGGTGTAAATCACAGAATAATGGTTTATTCGGCCAATACAGTGGTTCGCAGCAATGCGTAAAACAACTACAGTGCGACTTAACAGCGCACTGGGGAAAACAAAACACATGGGTGAATATCCCGACGATAAAGTACATAATGCTCCACCTAGCTATCGACACCTCCACATGGAAACAGTCACACACAAAGACATGGGGGGCAGAGGGAATACTTATACAGGGACTGATGAGGGGATATCAACCAGGTGTGTGTAAAAACAAGACAAAACAAATGGAATGATGAGAAGTGGAGCGGCAGTGGCTAGAAGGCCAGTGACGACGAACGCCGAAGCCTGCCCGAACAAGGAGAGGAGGCAGCTTCGGGAGGGTAGTCGTGACAATATGAAATTAAATTAAATTGAAAACTATAGCCTACTACCCATAAATGGCAGTGATTGCATCGGGAATAATATACATTCATACAGAAAATTTGAAATAAAACAAAGCCATTCTATATGCAGGGAAGCTATGCTGAGGTATGTTTTTCTTTCTCCCTGTAACACCAACACGTCTTTTGTATTTTATTTATAAGTAGACTGATCCCGCCACTAAATCAACTGGATCTACTAAGAAATCTGAAGAGCAAGTCGGGACTGTCATTCAGGTCAGAAACAAAATCAGAATTCATCACCTCCTAAGATGCAATGTCTTTATAACATTATGAAACATGATGGAAAATAAAGTGTGCTACTACATCTATAAAAAATATAGCATCAATACTACTATATCAGATTTGACAGATTATTGACAATTGAATGTACTGTATGTGCGTTTGTCTGTTTTTTGTTTGTTTATGTGTGTGTGTATCTTTGCGTTTCCTGCCCAAACAGGAAGGAACCCCAACCAGAACCCTCCCCAAGGTCAGTATCAAAACTTTATTTTACAACAAGGTCAAAAAAATCTATTTCACTCTCATCTCCAACCCATTTTCCGGTCAGTTCCAAAGTCGACACTGAACCTGAAGACTGTTCAAAACAGTCACTATCATTAAGAGTACCATCCCATGTCATATTATCACTAAGGTGGCCAACACTCGACCAAACAAGTCCTACAGGCTCTAGTTTTATCACATATTGACGATTTCACGGTTGTATGGTCAGGTGCAGCAAAGGACCTAAGAAAGCTTCAGCTGGCCCAGAACAGAGCAGCATGCCTTGCCCTTCACTGTACTCAGAGGGTTCATATCAACACTATGCATGCCAGTTCTTGTTTTTATGAGAAGTATCTCTGTTGTAAATCCCAAATTGTTTGTTTAAACAACTCAATTCAGAAAGACTTACTCACCCCACCAGACATGTTACCAGGGGTCTCTTCACAGTCCCCAAATCTAAAACAAATGTAAGGCAACGCACAATTTTACAGTGCCTTCAGAAAGTATTCACACCCCTTGACTTTTTCCACATTTTGTTGTGTTACAGCCTGAATTAAAAATGGATAAAATTTAGATTTTGTTGTCACACACATTACCCCATAATGTCAAAGTGGACGTGAGAGAACTGGGGAAGGTTGAACACCAGACGGGCTGCAGCGTTCTGGATGAGTTGTAGGGGTTTAATGGCACAGGCAGGGAGCCCAGCCAACAGCGAGTTGCAGTAATCCAGACGGGAGATGACAAGTGCCTGGATTAGGACCTGTGCCGCTTCCTGTGTAAGGCAGGGTCGTACTCTGCGAATGTTGTAGAGCATGAACCTACAGGATCGGGTCACCGCCTTGATGTTAGCGGAGAACGACAGGGTGTTGTCCAGGGTCACGCCAAGGCTCTTTGCACTCTGGGAGGAGGACACAACGGAGTTGTCAACCGTGATGGCGAGATCATGGAACGGGCAGTCCTTCCCCGGGAGGAAGAGCAGCTCTGTCTTGCCGAGGTTCAGCTTGAGGTGGTGATTCGTCATCCACACTGAGATGTCTGCCAGACATGCAGAGATGCGATTTGCCACCTGGTTATCAGAAGGGGGAAAGGAGAAGGTTAATTGTGTGTCGTCAGCGTAGCAATGATAGGAGAGGCCATGTGAGGATATGACCGAGCCAAGTGACTTGGTGTATAGCGAGAATAGGAGAGGGCCTAGAACTGAGCCCTGGGGGACACCAGTGGTGAGAGCACGTGGTGCGGGTACAGATTCTCGCCACGCCACCTGGTAGGAGCGACCTGTCAGGTAGGACGCAATCCAAGAGTGAGCCGCGCCGGAGATGCCCAACTCGGAGAGGGTGGAGAGGATGATCTGATGGTTCACAGTATCAAAGGCAGCAGATAGGTCTAGAAGGACGAGAGCAGAGGAGAGAAAGTTAGCTTTAGCAGTGCGTAGAGCCTCCGTGACACAGAGAAGAGCAGTCTCAGTTGAATGACCAGTCTTGAAACCTGACTAGTTGGATCAAGAAGGTCATTCTGAGAGAGATAGCAAGAGAGTTGGCTAAAGACGGCACGCTCAAGAGTTTTGGAGAGAAAAGAAAGAAGGGATACTGGTCTGTAGTTGTTGACATCGGAGGGATCGAGTGTAGTTTTATTTTACAAGGGGTGCAACTCTCGCTCTCTTGAAGACGGAAGGGACATAGCCAGCGATCAAGGATGAGTTGATGAGCGAGGTGAGGTAAGGGAGAAGGTCTCCGGAAATGGTCTGGAGAAGAGAGTAGGGGATAGGGTCAAGCGGGCAGGTTGTTGGGCAGCCGGCCGTCACAAGTCGCAAGATTTCATCTGGAGAGAGAGGGGAGAAAGAAGTCAAAGCATAGGGTAGGGCAGTATGAGCAGGACCAGCGGTGTCATTTGACTTAACAAACGAGGATCGGATGTCGTCAACCTTCTTTTCAAAATGGTTGACGAAGTCATCCACAGAGAGCAGCAGTAAAATAACAGTGGTGAGGCTATATACAGGGGGTACCGGTACAGAGTCAATGTGCGAGGGCACAGGTTAGTCACGGTAATATGTACATGTAGATAGAGTTAAAGTGACTATGCATAGTGTAGCAGTTTCAGGGGTTGTGTTGTGGATGGACGTTATGTGCCTGCAAGTTTTTTTGTTTTTTGGCTGCCAGGACCACGGACAGCAATGCGAAGTATTCCCACAGAGGCAGGACCATGGACAGCTCCGGGGAAACTTCTAGACTGCAGCAGAGCAGCCACACCTGTCTCCAGTTATAATCAGAGCCAAACTGCAGACAGGTGAAACCAATCAGTCTCTCTACTTTAACCGCGCCCTGGGTTTCTTTCTTTGTCTTTGTTTTGATCCCGGCAGGTGAAGGAGTAGGAGGCAAAGCGTACGGAAGGAAAAGGAGGCTTTAAAAGACGAAAGGAAAATAGGCTTTTAACAAGGGTTGATTTCCGCTAAAGACAAAGCTTGGAGGACCTTCCACGGGAAGCGAAGTATTTACTTTGTTTCTTTTGGGTATGATTTGTCAAGAACGCTGCCAAAGCCTGATCATAATAAACAGGTTTCACCTTTTCGTTGGACTTGTGTTGTGTGTGTAAACCCTGCCTTGCAAAGTACCCGGCCCCGAAACCGCTACACGCAAAGAAATATATATATATATTTTGTGGTTTAAGGGCTGACAACCATGGAAGATCTGTTGAAGCAATTGGTCACTTCCAATAACATGCAACAAGAAGCAAATCGCCAGCAAGCGGAAACCAATCGCTTGTTATTGGACGAACAAAGGAAGTGTCAAGTGCAGATGGATATGGAAATGCAAAGGTTAACTGCTGAAATCACTGCGGTGAAAATTGCTCAACAGACTGCGGGTCTACCCATCGCGGTATCTACAGAAAATGACGCCAAATGATGACGTTAAGGCTTTCCTAAAGACATTTTAGTGTATGGCCACAGATAGAGTGGGCAGGAATACTGGCTCCATTTCTTTGTGGGGATTTGGAAGCGACAGAAGCCAGTGACTATGACACACTGAAGAAGGAAATATTAGCCCTGTTGGGAGTCCCTGTTTCTTTGAGGGTGCAGTGGTTCCATACGTGGACGTATCAATCCGAGAAGACACCCAGGGCACAGATGTTTGACCTGGTCCACCTAGCGAAAAAATGGCTGGACCCCGTGACCCTCAGTACTGGGGCCATGGTGGAAAGAATAGTGATTGACCACTACATCCGGGGCTTACCTTATGAGCTAAAGAAAGTTGTCAGCCAGAGCAGTCCCACCACGGCGGACAGAGTGGTGGACCTCGTTGAGAGATGTTGAGCAACGGAAGAACTGCTCAAAACCAGCCATCAGAACCGAACCACCCATGAACAGGGAGGCCTCAAAGAAGGTGGAAGAAAAATAGCAGCCACCCCTGGGTTTGGAAATAAATAATCCAAAGGACGGATGGGGAACATGGATGCCAGGAATAGGTTTTACAGCCTGAAGCAAGGTGAGGTATAGAGGGGTTGATACCGACACCCGGGAGTGCTGTCGTGAAATAGGACACATCGCATGGAACTGTACGAAGAAGGAGGAACCCATGCAGGTCGATATTTCCAATCTACACCACTGCCATGTCAATTCTGCCCATGTCCAAGCCCACCGCCACCCACCGCACCTCAGTCGGGTACATGTACAAGGGAAAGAAGTAGATGCTCTTCTAGACTCCAGGAGCATGGTCTCCCTCATCATACCTTCCCTACTAACCCAGCCGCATAGGGCTGCAGCTCCACCCATGGACATCACCTGTGTACACGGGGACACCAAAACTTATCCAACTGCAGTGGTAGACATCAACACCACCAAAGGGCGGTTCAGAGGTAACCTAGGGTTGATTGAAGATCTACCATATCCCGTGATACTGGGTCGTGACTGTCCGTACTTTCAAGAATTGTGGAAAGTACTACAGGACAAAGGAGATGGCTGTGCCAGTTATATGGCATGCCAGGTACCATTTACATTTTCCAGTGAAACGAAAATGAAACCGCTACAAAAGACCTCCCTGTCCTATGAAAGAAAAAATAACAAATTGGTACTTACATGCCGGCCTCCCATGGCCAACACTTGTGTTCTCCTGGGAGAAGAAGGGGAAGAAGCCGACGAAGAGACGGGAAACCTAAGGGGGATAAATGGTCCCGAAATGGGGGAAGAGGAGGAGTTTGAAGAGCAGGGCGAGGGGCCTGGAAATTTGGTGACAAATTAGTTTTTTCCTCCTGAGTTTCGTACGGCTCAGCTGGAAGACCCCACGCTACAGAACACAAGATAGAATGTTAAGGTAATAGATGGCATACCTATAAATCCGGCTAATGTACTCACTTTTCCTCATTTTTCCATGAGAAATAATATCTTATACCAGGTCACGGAATCCAATGACATTACAGTGGAGCAGCTGTTGGTTCCAACCCCGTTTCGGCGAACAGTGCTGAACCTGGCCCATAGCCAGCTATTGGGAGGACATTTACGGAGAGAGAAAACACAAGAGCGGGTGTTACAATGTTTCTTCTGGCCGGGGGTGTATGCAGATGTCGTAAGGTGTTGCCAGGGGTGTCCTGACTGTCAGAGAACCTCACCCCTTCCTGATTTACGAAATCAAGGAATCCCGTTGCCAGTGATAGACACACCCTTCGATAGAATTGCTATGGATTTAATTGGACCATTGCCACGGTCTGCGAAAGACTTTCAACATATACTGGTTGTGGTAGATTATGCCACCAGGTATCCCGAGGCCATACCCCTGTGTAGTGCCAACACCAGGAGCATCGCCAGAGAGCTGTTACAGATGTTCTCCCGGGTGAGAAATCCTGACGGACCAAGGCACAGTGTTCATGTCCAAGATAATGAAAGATCTATGTAAATTGCTTCAAATCAAACAACTGCACACCTCTGTATATCACCCCCAGACTGACGGCCTAGTCGAGAGGTTTAATAGAACCCTGAAATCTATGCTCAGATGGACCATGGAGCGGGATGGCGAAACTGGGATCTGCTGCTTCCGTTTCTGATGTTTGCCATAAGAGAGGTACCCCAGGCATCCACTGGTCTTTCACCCTTTGAGCTATTGTTTTCCCACAGGCCCAGGGCATTCTTAGATGTGACGATGGAGAACTGGGAACAACAGCCCAGCCTCCACAACACTGTCATAGAACACATTGAAGGAATGAGAGAACGCATAAACAGTGTAATGCCCATCGTGAAGTAACATTTACAGCAGGCCCAAGAAGCCCAAAGTCGAGTGTATAATCGGCCCGCTCAACCCCGAGAGTTCGCCCCAGGGGTTCGGGTTATGGTGTTAGTACCCATGACAGAATGTAAGTTCCTGGTCACATGGCCATGGCGGGGTCCCTATGAGGTGTTGCAGAAAATGGGGCCCGTGAACTACCTCATCCGTCAGCCAGGGAGACGGAAGCTAGAACAGGTGTATCATGTTAACCTGTTAAAGAAGTGGGTAAGTCAAGAAGCACTGTGGGGGGGGGGGGGACCAACATTCAGACTTCACTATTTTCGGCCACTTCCTCTTCTTCAGAGAACCTGCTGGAAGAAATTGCCTTCGGAGATGTAACGCCTTCCCAGACCCAGGAGCTATGTGAGTTGGTTGTGAAAAATAAAGATGTGTATTCTTCCTAACCAGGGCACACCCATCACATCCAACATGACATCATCACGCCTCCGGGGATACGGGTCCATCAAAAACCTTATCGGACGCCAGAGGCGAGGAGAGTGGCAATAAAAGAAGAAGTGAGGAAGATGTTGGAGCTGGAAGTCATTGAAGAATCACACAGTGCGTGGTCCAGCCCGATAGTCCTGGTATCAAAACCAGATGGTACAGTACGATTCTGTAATGACTTCCGTAAGTTGAATGCCATTTCGGAATTTGATGCTTATCCCATGCCACGAATAGATGAGATGATGGAGAGACTGGGATATGCACGCTTTATCAGTACACTTGACCTAACCGAGGGGTATTGGTAGGTTCCTCTGACCCCTGCAGCTCGGGAGAAGACTGCATTCTCTACTCCAGAAGGCCTGTTCCTATATGTGCGACTGCCCTTTGGACTTCAAGGAGCCTCTGCCACATTTCAAAGGCTGATGGACCGCATTCTGCGCCCACATCAATCCTATGCTGCAGCCTATCTGGACGTTGTGATCATCCACAGCCACACTTGGGAGGAGCACCTAATCCGGTTAACAGCAGTCATCGATGTACTTCGGCAAGCAGGGCTCCTGGCCAACCCAAAGAAATGCACGCTGGGGGTAAGTGAAGCAAAGTATCTGGGCTATTCCATAGGGCGAGGGTTCATCAAACCACAAGAGAAGAAGGTCGCGGCAATCCAGGATTGGCCTCGACCAGTAAACAAGTAACCGGTACGTGCTTTCCTGTGAATAACCTGTTATTACAGACGTTTCATCCAGGATTATGCAATAATTTCAGGAACCCTGTGTGACCTGACGCGGAATGCCCAACCTGCCATGGTAAAGTGGAACCCTGAGGCCGAAGAGGCTTTTCAAAAACTGAAAATGGCCTTATGCACTGCCCCTGTATTGTATTCTGCGGATTTCTCGAAGCCTCTGATTGTACAGACAGATGCATCGGACACGGGAATTGGAGCTATACTCTCGCAGGAAGTGAATGGAGAGGAACATCCAGTGCTGTACATTAGCCGTAAATTGACTCCCTGTGAAACCAAATATGCAACAATAGAAGAAGAGTGTCTGGCGATTAAATGGGCTCTGGAGTCCTTGAAATATTAAGTTCTGGGTCGCAAGTTTGTATTGATGACAGAGCACGCTCCTCTCACCTGGATGAAGCAGAATAAGGACACTAACGCCCGGATCACCCATTGGTTCCTCAGCCTCCAGCCTTTCCACTACCAAAATCGTCCACCGTTCGGGTTCTAAACATGGTAATGCTGATGCCCTGTCTCTTCAACCGCTCTGACCCCAGTGTCAACGCTGAGGGGGAAGGTATGTAGCAGTTTCAGGGGTTGTGTTGTGGATGGACGTTATGTGCCTTGCAGGTTTCTTTGTTTTTTGGCTGCCAGGTCCATGGACAGCATTGCGAAATATTTCCTCAGAGGCAGGACCACGGACAGCCCCGGGGAAACTTCTAGACTGCAGCAGAGCAGCCACAGCGTGGCAGATGTGTTGTTACCTACCCTTACCACCTGGGGGCGGGAGGTGTTTAGTCCCAGGGTCCTTAGCTTATTGATGAGCTTTGAGGGCACTATGGTGTTGAACGCTGAGCTGTAGTCAATGAATAGCATTCTCACGTAGGTGTTCATTTTGTCCAGGTGGGAAAGGGCAGTGTGGAGTTCAATAGAGATTGCATCCTCTGTGGATCTGCTGGGGCGGTATGCAAGTTGGAGTGGGTCTAGGGTTTCTGGGATAATGGTGTTGATGTGAGCCATGACCAGCCTTTCAAAGTGCTTCATGGCTACAGACGTGAGTGCTACTGGTCTGTAGTCATTTAGGCATGTTACCTTAGTGTTCTTGGGCACAGGGACTATGGTGGTCTGCTTGAAACATTGGGTGCAATGAATATGGGACCAAATACTAAACTTTTGACTACTTTAATACACATACAGTGCATTCGGAAAGTATTCAGACACCTTGACTTTTTCCACATTTTGTTACGTTACAATGAATATGGGACCAAATGTTTTATTCCCCCTCATCAATCTACACACAATACCCCATAATGACAAAGCAAAAACAGGTTTTTAGAAATTTTAGCAAACTTATTTTATATTATTCTTATTTAAAATGTATGTAGCTCTGTCCTTGAGCTGTTTTTGTCTATCAATGATTTGTATTATGTTATGTTTTTTGTGGACCCCAGGAAGAGTAGCTGCTGCATGAGCATAAGCTAATGGGGATCCTAATAAACAAACAAACTGCGTCCCAAATGGCACCCTATTCCCTATATAGTGCACTACTTAGGACACAACAACACAGAGAACCTGTGGCTACTACTGACACTCATGTTTTACCCATCACATTTCTAACTAATGATGCAGGATGGCGTGACGTCAATGACAACGTTATTTATGAGCATGGCACAATGTCGTGCTCTGACCTTGTCCTCTCATGGACTCGTGGCCATGCTCATAAGTAGTGCACGTGCTTACTCAAGTGATTTAGTCATACAGTCACCAATATGTTGAGCTCATGAGTGTGAAAAGGCCTGGGTAAGATGTTTCTGTTTTAGAAAAGTCCTATAAAATGAGAAGATTTATTGAAAAACGTTATTTGACTGATTACTTACTGCCAAGTAAATAGAGGTTATGACTCTCCGTCAATATTCAGTTGGGGCTGAATGAATGCAATACCAAAACATAGCCCATAGGTTGTGGGTTCGATTCCCACGGGGGGCCAGTATGAAAAAATGTATGCACTCACTAAAACTGTAAGTCGCTCTGGATAAGAGCGTCTGCTAAATGACTAAAATGTAAATTGTACGGCTAGTAAACCACTAAATATTGCGACATCAATAGCATCTGATTACCATAACTGCATATTGGTAAGTAAAGATGTGCATGGTGTGCATGAATACACAGAAAAACACTGACTTGTATTGCTTGAGTGATAATCACATGACATATCTCCTCTCAACATCTCTTGATCCCCTGACCCCTCCAGTCAGAAGGTCAGCCTGAAGGAGCGCGTTTTCTCCAGTCCCCGGAGCTCGGGGACAAAAGGGAAAGGTTCACCCCAGGGCCCCAGCAGACAAGGCAGCCAGGGTCAAGGCCAGGGGGGCCAAGGCCAGGGCCAACCCATCCGCCAGTCCCCCAGCGCGGACAACACCAACGAAGACAGCCCCAGCAAAGTGCCCAAGAGCTGGAGTTTCGGAGAACGCAGCCGGGCACGTCAAGCCTTCCGCATCAAGGGCGCAGCCTCGCGCCAAAACTCGGAAGGTAGGATTATCTTTACGCTATGTGTTTCTGTGGTACTTGATATGTTGAGTTCAGTCTAGCTTTTGAATGATGTGTTATTCTTTGTGGCTTTAGTGTTGCAATGAGTTTGTGTGGTGTGATGAGCTGTGCTGTGAGAGTTCAGATCGTACGTGTTATGTACTGTATCTATTGTGGGCCTGTTTTTTCCCGGGGGTCATACCTTTTTCTCTGTTATCTGTAGTATCTTTGTTGCCTTGCTGTTTGGTTCATTTGAAACAAACTTGGAACAGTACAATTAGAGAAAGACATGATTATGTTCTGCTGATGTAGGTGATGTATAAAATGTTAGGTGACATTGACAAGTTACAACAATGGTCATAATGCCACTTTATGCTATCATAAGGATTTGGTTAGCTACATTACTCAGACTATGGCTGGTTGAAACAAACCTTTGAACTGATAACAGTGACAGTGTTATAACCGCTGTTGAACTCATGTTCTCACTACATGTCCTATAACAATGCTATTGGCAGTATATTATTGGCATTGGCGTTGTCACCACCTCTTAAAGTATTTTGATGTTCAAGTCTTAAATTGTTTAAGTGTTACTGTTAATTAATCGTAGATATTAATCATGAACTAAACAGCATGGCAGCATATGTTTGCCCTACATGATGCAGTTCTGTTAAACATGTCCGGTCTGTTTTATGTGTCTGTATTCATGCAATTGTTGCTCTTGATGGCGTTTTCTCTGTACGTTGACAGAAAACAATCATTTGATGCACGATTGGCAAAATGCAATCCTCATCGATTCCTTTTTCGTTTCTCTGTTTGACGCTGTGCTAAAGTGCTGATTGAGATGCAGGATGAAGAATTCAGACAGAAGAGGTCACCAGGTCAGGCAAACAGGGATGATTGTTTCAACATCCACGATCAACACATCAATATATATATATATATATATATATATATATATATATATATATAGGGATTTATTACCTCATGTACAGATATGCTATCATGTTTTGTTTTTGGTTTGGTATGCTTTTTGGACACAGAAGCCCAGTCCCTGACTAAAAAGCGTGCTCAATGGAGAATCTCCATTTAAAGTGCTTTCCAGTCCAGGACTAGGCTTAATCTGTGTCTGAGAAACCAGCCCATGTTTGGATTTTTTGTTGTTGTTGATTTGTTCCATTTGACAAACAGCTGTAAAGAGGTTAAAGTATAGTACAAGATAACATAGATTTTATTTGCTGGCAATGGCATCACCTTCATGTTGTCTGTTTGATTTACTTTTGTTTTTGAATATGATAACATCATAAACCATGTACTATGAATACTAATCTATACTAATCACCAGAACTGATGTGAGAAATCAGATTTTTCTAATTTCATGTCCAAATTCTCCCAAAGTGTCTAAAATTGATTGTGTAGCTCAATAAAGTTACTTTAAGACGATTTGGACATGAAATGAGAAAAATCTGTCTAAATCTGATTTCTCACATCAGTTCTGGTGATCATCCAGATCAAAATAAAGGCTAAATGATGCTTAAAACTATTTCCTAAAGTCATTCTATGGAGTTAAGTTAGTGCCAAAAACCGAGTGTGCATGTAATCAGTGTTGTGCACATATTAGCTGATAACTGTTGAAAAATTATTTGGCAGAATTGCAGCAATCATTTAGTAGCATGGTTAAGATTTCATCTCAACCCCAGTAACAAGCCATAACAATCTGTCATTTTATAGTAATAATCTGTTGATATGTTTGTTATGTCATGCAAATTATTAGCTTGGTAAAACAGAGCAATTCAGTTTGGATTCCGAGGCTAACAAAAAAATAAGACTTTAGAGGACTCAAGTAAACTGTTCCATTTAAGTTAGCCTGACATGATGCCTCTATAACATGATCATGACAAATTATAGTGTCAAAATGACGACATAAAACCGGTCATGATATGTCATTACCGTTACGCAAAGTGACATAGCACATACAACGCAAGGACTGTAAGACATTTTCGTCTGATTGTATGTTTCGCCATGTCATAATGCCAGCTTGGCTTACATGTAATGGTCAACTGTAGCAGGCCTAATGCCATTTCTATGGTAGCCTTATGAAGGCATTAAGATGCTGCATTTACTGATTTCCACTGCCCGTAACTCTAATGCAGCAACCAGTTGTGACTTGGGAATAATCTTCAACTGCACACCTTTTGGAAAAACAAAGATCCTACATGCCTACATGTTAAAAAGCGCAGTTGTGAGATAAAGTAGGCTATTTATTATTTTATCATGTCTACTGATCATTTATCACAAAACCTACAAATATGTTTCATAGTTGTAACGCAATGCACATAATATGTTCAAGTATGTGACATTAGATTGATCCATCCTTTGGGGAAAGACTTTTGAATATACTGATTTGGCACTATTTGACTATTGTACAATACATCACATCTTGTCATATCTGAGCAGTGGAATTAATTCAAATCTGATAAATATACCAATTTTGTATACTGCTGAATAAGTTGGCAGCTTTGCAGAGTTGCTGCTTTAGCCTCATTCTGATACTGTATCAGTTGGGTCATGCTCATATGAAGCCATAGCTTAAACGGCTTTGGAACCTTGTTTTCAGAGTGACATTTTGATTGAGTTTGCTAGCTAACTTCTTGTACATCCAATGCAAATTTCCACAGCATTATCACCGGTTGCTGCATGACAGTGTAGGGTTTTCACTGTCAAATTACCATTGTGTCACAACATGCCTTTTCACAATTTTGCAATAGAATAAGTGACTGCAACCAGTATGAAAATCTTGGTAACACTTTCTGTGAATGCCCTAATCATAATGAAATGTAAGCGCCAATGTTTTGCATTATAATTTTTTTTGCATATTTCTTAAGGGGTTATTAAAACCTGTTGCTGCAGTCCTTTCTTCTTCAGTCCATTCCACTAATTACTGTACCAAACTACATTTGATGGCCATAATTATTACTTATCACCCCTCCCTTTCACGATGCAGATCTGGCCAATACCCTTGCAGTCCTTATTGCATTGTACCTTCAGAGAGTTTCTGTAATACATGACAAGATACAACCTGACACAACTGAATATCACCACTGCCCTCGGGTTCTTTACATCATGATATTGTATACCATTTCCTAATAAGCCTGTTTTTTGGTGATTGTATTATGATTTTTTCCACAATTTAACCAGCTTTATCTTATTGTCTTTTCCTTCTCCTCTACACCTCCTTTGCAGCAATTGAGGGGTTAATCAGTAAGAAGAAAATCCCATGTCTGCTAGGGGGATGGTCACCAGATCAAAATGAATAAAAACAAGTGTTTATATGATAGAAGCAATATAATGCATGCCCAACTGTAGACCCATTCCATGAGCACAGTAGTGGGTGGGCCCCATCATTTCCATAATAGCCCACTCCAACTCCAAGCAAGCAGCCCGAAAGCCATGCACTCAACTGAAAATGGCTGCCGCTGCTGCATTCTAACCTGCATGAAGGAAGCTGTCTGATCTTTGTCAGTTGGCCTTCGACGCCCACTAAGGGCCTTTAAACATAGCACTATAGAACCGTGACACTAGATCCCCTCCCCTTAAAATGGAAGCCATGTTGGGGAAGACGTGTTGCAGTTTCACGGCTCTGTAGTTTGGTTGGCATTAGGTGCACAATGTTTTTGTCTGTTGGAGTGAAACTGGGATAGGTCAATGCTGTGACCCAAAATGATTGACACCTTCAGGCAAGTTCAAGCTCTTTATTTGTCAATACAGATATCTGCTTCAAATTTCTTGAGCTCAGAGTTCACATAGACATACTTGATTATGCTAGATACACATACTACATACACTAGATACATAGAACCAAAGACAAACAAATCCTCTTGCACACCATAAAACCATTATGGTCTTGAAAAGGGAGAAATCCATACCCTCTCAAATACAGCACCAATATTGAAATATGTAGGGAGAGATTTACTCAGCCTTGTCACCAGTCTGAACCTCCAATTTCACTGATGCAAATTGCTGCCAACTCGAGTCTGGCCTTTAGATCCCCAAAAATAGAAAAGCAATCCCTTACAATAATTGAAAGATAAATGTGTGACTGCACAAGCCAATATCCAAACTCCTTCTCGGCTCACTCCTCACAGTCAAATTTACAGTAAATCCAGTGACTCAGCCACACAAAAAAGTTTGATATCGAAAGGAGTATCAGAAATGTTTGATGCTTAATATAATGAATTATATACAGTAGGACCAGTTTACACTGTTACACTGTTTCCACTATTACGTTTTACTTCAAGATATAGCTAGATACATTGATTGCGGAGTTAGCTGTCCTGCTATGGCTTCTATATAGGTGCTTATTGAGCATCCATGTTTTGTACTGTTACGTCTCTGTCTCTGCATTGAACCTCATGTAGGCACATAGTCCCCCTTCTGCCATAATAGGCATTCAGCAGTTTGAAACACTTGAACGACTATCCCACTCTGCATAGGCCTGCACCTTGAACTCAAGTGTCTCAAACTGCAGATTGACTAGGCTGTGGTCCACTGCAGTGGACTGTCTACTGACTGTCTCAGTGTCATGCACAACGATGCTAGCTGCTAGCGTAGCTTAAGATAAGAGCACACTGGCTTTGGCACGCCACGTCACGCCTCCATATTTTTGGGTCACAGTAGTCAGGTGAAGCCATTAACCTCTGAAACTGGTACCGCTATGTCCCCCCTTCTTCCCAATCCCCCCCTTTCATTTTCCTTATCCTGCATCAGCCAATGAGATGAACCGACACTGCCATTAAGCTGCCCTCAATTCGACGCCCAATCCCTCACTGTAACCCTGGGCTGTGCAAGTTAATGGCTGTGCCTTCGCTTGGTTCCATGCAGACTGGCATCCTTAAAGACTGAATGAGTGGAGGTTAAGGGAGAGTGCAGATGACAGTTCAGTGTTTCCCTCCACCCCATCCCACAGGAACACGCTAACACCGGAGCTCTCGTGTGCTTGTTGTGTTTCGTAGAAGCCAGCTTCCCTGGAGAGGACATAGCGGACGACAATAAGAGCTGCCACTGTGAGTTTGTCCCTCAGGACTTGACTCCCGGACTTAAGGTCACCATCAGGTCCATTTGGTAAGCCAAGACAAGTTTTGTCTTTCAGAGTGGGTCTGGGTCAGGTGAATCTCTATCTCTCATTATCTGTATAATTTTTTTGTTCATATCACCCTCTTGTTCTTCCATCTCAATCTGGGAAAATCGTTTCATACTGTATACAGACATGTAAGAAGTTGAATTGAGATATCTCACGGCCCACATAATTGTCCCAGACCCTAGTATAATGATCTATGAAATGTCCCATTTAAAATATCCTATTGAGGTTGTGTTCATATCTCAAACGTCGCTCTCTCCTCAGCATTATGAGGTTCATGGTCTCCAAGAGGAAGTTCAAAGAGAGCCTGCGGCCGTATGACGTGATGGATGTCATAGAGCAGTATTCAGCTGGCCACTTGGACATGCTGGCCCGCATCAAAAACCTCCAGTCCAGGCAAGATACCCTCCCTCTCCTATTCTCTCTCTGAGACCTGTCTTTTGCCACACTTTTAGATCCCTGGGTACAGCAAAATTCCAAATTAATAAAAGATTAAGACGTATTGATTGCGTATGTCTTCACACCGCAGAGTTAATACTTGGTGGAAGCACCTTTGGCAACCATTACAACTGAATCATTTTGAAAATATTCTACCAACCTTCACAACACATCAAAATTGCTCAAGCTCAGTACATTTAGTTAGGAATCATTAATGGACAGCAATATTCAAAACTCAAGCAAATTTAAGTCAGAACTGAGACTGAACCACTCAGGAACACTCAACACCTCTTGGAAAGCCATTAAAATGTGTGGCATTAAAATATGTGTAATTGTCCTGCAAAAAATTAAAACTCTATCCCAGGGTTAGGTTTACAGAAGATTACGGCGGGTTTTCCTCTAACTTTTTACCTGTGCTTTGCTACTTTCATAATTTCTTCTGATCCTGACAAACTCCCCAGTCCCTTGGACTGAAATAGATGCCGGTACTATTTTGACTGCTATTATGATTGTCTGTTTATTTCATATCCGCAAAGTAGTTAAAACACTGTCAGTTCCACTGTTCCTGAGTGTTCCACAGGTGTTCCACAGGGGCGTAGGCACGGGTAGGACTGGGTGGGCGTAGGCCCACCAACTGGGGAGCCAAGCCCACCCAATCAGATTGAGCAAAAAATTCATAATTATGCTCTACTTCTCAGTGTTCCAAATGGGACTGAGAGATGACCATTAGTCCAGTGAGTTGCATGTTAAATGCAAGAGTCATGTATTTAAGTAGGCCTACAAGACTACTTGGTCTGTAATACTATATTATATATTTTTTTACTTTTCACCCCATTTTCTCTCCAATTTTGTGATATCCAATTGGTAGTTACAGTCTTGTCCCATCGCTGCAACTCCCGTACGGACTCGGGAGAGGCAAAGCCATGTGTCCTCCGAAACACGACCCTGCCAAGCCGCACTGCTTCTTGGCACAATGCTCGCTTAACCCGGAAGCCAGCCGCACCAATGTGTCGGGGGAAACACCGTACAACTGGCGACCGAAGTTAGCGTGCATGCGCCCGGCCCGCCACAAGGAGTCACTAGAGCGCGATGGGACAAGGACATCCCGGCCGGCCAAACCCTGCGAATTGACCACAAAAAGCCAAACAGATATATTTGACTAAAACATAATAATTTAAAACCTTGCTTGCATATTTGTATACAATCACATATACTGTATCTCTCTAATTACGTGGGAATACTTTGAAACGGATTTCCAAAATTAAAATCACTTGGATCTTTACAGTCTTATTTATGTCCAACAACAAAAAATGTCAGGGGCCAAATAAAATATTGTTACTTTTACTTAAACAGGTAAGTTACTGAGAACACATTCTCTTTTACAATAACAAACTAAAATAATGACACTTGAGTCAGTGCCATGCTTTGATGTCACACAATTCATAGCTCAATTCAATTCCTTAAACCTATTGTTGACGGTGTTATGATAGTCTGTCAATCAAATATTCCTAAACCAAATGGCATGTTGTTAATGCTGTGAGCAAACAACAGCCACTGTTGGCTGGAATCATAGGATGATTGATAATTCATGATCTTCCTGAGTCCCACCCACATCACTTTATAGGCTACTGTACCTCAAATAATTACACGAAAAGATCAACTCGCAATACGGATTCAGTGAATCAGTGATGATCAGTGATTATTTCAATGAAACGTTGATGTAGTCTGCTTCTTTGTAACTGTCCTGTATGCATGTTAATACAACTGTTATCAAGACAATTAGCATTTGGCTTGACCTGCTCCCTGCATATTTTATGATGTTAAGAGACTTACCATAAAGGGTCCAATTTCCAGAGACACAACCCTGATACCCATGACCAAGCAAATTTTCCGTGAGGTTGTTCTTACCAAGTGAACCCAGCAATTTTTTGTTGTTGTTGCAATTATGGAGTTGTGAGTTTTGTTCCCCCAAAGGTCAGAACGCATTGAATCTGAATTCAACGTCTATACGCATTACACAACAATAGTAAGTGTCTGTCCACCATGTATAACACAAAGGCGACATCTTGAGCATATTCAGTCTCATCTCAGGGGCAACGTTGTCGAATAAGTACAATATATGTTGTGAGTTTACAAATGATACCACATATATGTAAATATATTCCTACTTAGAAGAGAAAAAAATGTAACATTCAAATCTCCTCCCTATTTGTTTTAAAATGATGGCTTCACTGTCATATCATACATCTGCAGTACAGAGGCTGATTAATTTACCAAATGAAAACAGCAATTTGCTGTTTTACTATTGGCAAATATGTTTGGAATATATTTTCACTTATTTGTCCTTGTCTTTTGTCTCCTGGTTCTGTTGTTTTGGTTTCGTTCATTTGATGTGCGCCTGTCGGACTGGTCCTTGTTGCGCCGTCATCCTGCATTGTGCTGGTGTCTTCTCTATTCACTTTTGCCAGGATAGATATGATTGTTGGTCCCCCTGGGCCCTCAACTCCCCGCCATAAGAAGTATTCAACTGATGGACCCAAAGAGTCACCAAAAAACTCTCCTAGGTTAGGCCTCACCAGACTACCTCTCTCTCATCAAGAGCTTATCCCTCAGTTCATTATCTATTGTCTTGACAAGCAGCGAGAAACCTTTTTTTGGCTCGGCCTACTGTGACAGCGTGTTACTAGCGGTGTCTACATCGCAGTGTGATGCAGTGACTTGATCAAAGTAGCAAACGTCTTGCAGCAATTATTCAGTTATTCTCAGCAAAGAATTACTCAAACTCAGTGAGTCATAGTCTCTTTGATGCCCTTTGAGTGCTGATCAGCTGTATACACATGTGTATACGCATACACAGAGTGTACAAAACATTAGGAACTCTTTCCTAATATTGAGTTGCACCTTCTTTTACCTTCAGAACAGCCTCAATTCGTCGGGGCATGAACTATACAAGGTGTAGAAAACGTTCCACAGGGATGCTGGCCCATGTTGACTCCAATGCTTCCCACAGTTGTGTCAAGTTGGCTGGATGTCCTTTGGGTGGTGGACCATTCTTGATACACACGGGAAACTGTTGAGCGTGAAAAACCCAGCAGCATTGCAGTTATTGACACACTCAAACCAGTGCACCTGGCACCTACTACCATACCCCGTTCAAAGGCACTTAAATCTTTTGTCTTGCCCATTCACCCTCTGAATGGCACACACACACAATCCATGTATCAATTGTCTCAAGGCTTAAACACCCTTCTTTAACCTGTCTCCTACCCTTCATCTACACTGATTGAAGTGGATTTAACAAGTGACATCAATAAGGGGTCATAGCTTTCACCTGGATTCACCTGGTCAGTCTGTGTCATGGAACGAGCAGATGCTCCTAATGTTTTGTACACTCAGTGTATCTAACACATACAACAGTAAAAAATATATATATTCTTATTTGTCTTGCGCTATACTGCTACGATTTAACTAGAGAATTAATAAAAGTAGAATAAAAGTAAAAGAAGACTATGGTAAATGCTCCTGTAGGATATAGGAGAGCTTATGCTCCTGTAGGACATAGGAGAAGCGAAGCTCATAGGTAAGTAGTCAAGTCATGTAGCCAAACAAAAAAGGGTTGCGCTGCTGGTGTAAAAATGGCTTTATAAATAAATGTGATTGATTGATATTGCCTGCAATGCATTGACAATGTGAAGGCCTTCTACGTAAAGATAGCGAAATGAATCTACAGCCTATGACCTGTGAGGCGGCTATGAACAATACAGTATATTCTTCGGTTTTGGATGCATGTTGGCATGAAGTGTATTGAAGCATGCCACGAGATGCACAATGTACCTTTTAGAAGTTGCATAGTTTCTAATCTTGGCCGCTTTGAATGCTTGCAAAATTGGTAAGCATGTTTTGCCTAACCATGGAGCCGTTCTGTTAATATCTATTTTTTCTACTGAGGATATTGCTCTCTTATTCAGATGTTTAAAATGGTAGTTCAGTGCCAACCCTCTTATAAGTAGGCCTCAGTCAGTTTTCAATCTTGCATAGATGTTATGGATGGTTTTTAGAAGGTTCATGGTGCTTTACAACCTGGTCTCAGAGCATTTAGTATTATTCTTTATGTAAATCCGGACCACACCATTTATAATGTATTAATTTGTGGATGACCATCATCCATCTCGTATGATATGTTACAAATTACAATTCGTATGATATGTTACAAATTTGCTAAATGTACGATATGTTATGTTTTTGCAAAAAGTACAATATGTTACCAATTCCAATTTGTTGTAGCTATGTTAGCTAGGTGGCTAATGCTAACGTTAGCTAGCTGGCTAACGTTAGCTAGGCTAGGGGTTAAGGTTAGGGTTAAGTTTAGGAGTTAGGTTAAAGGGTTAGGGTTAGCTAAAAACGTTAGGGTTAGGGGAAGGGTTAGCTAACATGCTAAGTAGTTGCAAAGTATCTAAAAATATACTAATTAGCTAAAATGCTAAAGTTGTCCGTGGTGAGATTCGAACACGCAACTTTTGGGTTGCTAGACGATCACGATATACGCCCACCCATCCAACCTGACCAACCACCCTCCTTTCGTTTTTGCCTTAAGTTACATTCTGTCTTATGTAACCATACCAAATGTAACATATTTGAGTATCCCATACTATGTTATGTCTAGTCTGAGACCAGGCTGTGCTTTAGGGCAATAAGTATCGCTGATCCAATATGTCCAAGCAATGTTTTCAGTGACACTTTACTTGAAGCAACCTTCCCTTGAAGTGTAAACATTCGATTCACACTTTACCTTTAGAATGCGTACAGAACCTTTGTCATAGCAGTCAAAGATTCCTTGTCATGACTGTTTGTGACAACTTGCCTTACACTTCTGACAACTGGCATGCCAATGTTATAAAGCAGACCATCTATGGCAACCATATTACCATCCCTGGCAACTTCATAGGGTGTTACTTCCTTTGCAGAACCTGTAATACCCACTTGAGACAGGTATTATGTCATTCTTATAACAGCTTTAAGTAGGCATACAAACATAAAGTAATGTGTTGCTGTATTGTCTTGCTGGGTTCAAGAGCCAATGATGAGTAGTTGAAATAAAAGATGACCCTAACCCTGCACCCTGTAAGGCCCTGGGTCCTCCTCCTCCTCCTCCATCTCTCCGTATGCCATCCCATGCATGTGCCCATCCCACTCCCACTGTGCTCAGCGCTCGGCAGGTGAGAGCTATACCTGAGTGATCTCCTCTCTACACCTGCACTCCTCTACATCTTGCAGAGAAAGTATTGGGTTACATACATTCTTTACAATTGTGGACATTCATTACTTTTGAAGGTTGATTTTATTTTTGCTGTGTCAATTTCAAACAGGTTTTCTTCAACGCTGTTGGCTTTATTCTAGACATTGTCCGTTTGTGTTTTGAATCGGTAGAGTTGACCAGATTGTTGGTCGAAGTACTCCAATCACAGATAAAGACCGTCCCAAAGGAACCACTGACGGGGGGGTTGAGGAGGACCCAAGCATGATGGGGCGTTTGGGGAAAGTGGAGAAAAAGGTAAGGTATACCATTAGCAATTAATGGCAGTATTCACTGTGTCCCTGTGTTTCCCTTGGGCTTTCCAATTCTCCATCACGCCATGGTGTCTTCCCTTCTGGGCAGGTCATGTCAATGGAAAGAAAGCTGGACTTCTTGGTGAACATCTACATCCAGCGCATGGGCATCCCCCAGTCGGAGACTGACGCCTACTTTGGGTCCAAAGAGCCCGACCCGGCACCACCCTACCACAGCCCCGTGGACCACATGGAAAAGAGAGGCTCCATCACCAAGATCATCCGCTTCAACAGCTCGGCCGGACAGAAGAACTTCGACCCCCCGCCAGCCTGCTCTGGCCTGGGGGGCCACTGCCCCCCCTCCACCTCCTGGCAGCAGCACCCTGTCAGCGAGTTCCACCAGCGCAGCCAGGGCAACTCGCCTTCCCCCGTAGGGGATCCCTCCCTGGTCCGCATCCCTCCTCCACCGGCCCATGAGCGCTCATCTGGAGGCCACAGTGGGAGCAATCGGGGGTCCCACCGCAACAACGGTGGTGGTGGCAGTGGCGAGGGGGATAGAGAGGGCAAGGCAGACAGCGACACGTCCATCTCTTTCCCCTCGGTGGACCACGAGGAACTTGAGCGCTCCTTCAGCGGCTTCAGCATCTCCCAGTCCAAGGAAAATCTGGACTTCCTGAACAACAGCAACTTCAGTGTTGTAGCCCGCTGCGCCAAAGTAAGGCCCTATATCGCAGAAGGTGAATCCGACACTGACTCGGACCTCTGCGCCCCCTCGCCCCACTCGGCCACCGGGGAAGGCGCTTACGGGGACAGAGGGTGGTCAGGATCCAAGTAGGCCAAAATTGGAACTGCTTATATAAATGCCTTGGAGTTCAGAGCTGAAGGTCTGATGTGCTAGGTGTTAGGCTGCTACCACCAATGATACTTGTGAGAACCAAATAACCTGGCTCCTCTTGAATGACTGCAGCGGAGAATGAGGAAAAAAGTTATCACGCTCCAACGGTTTTTACTGAGAAAGCGCCTGTAGTTTTTCAATTTGACTTAAAGCACACACATTTGTTCTCATGTATTCGCACACTCATTAACTCAAGGTTAAGTTTGCCAGTGATTGTTTTGATCTTTTACTCAGGAACGGAATGCAGATTAATTGCCAACCTTCTATATTATCATTGAGATGGTTAAAGAGTTAAAGAACACACTTGAATTTGGACAAAACTATGACATCCATATTCTTTTGTTGCATTTGATTGTTTTTGTGGCATAAGAGATTCCCAATTTCATCTAACATGTCATGTATTGTATTTTTATCCCAAATGACTTAGTTCTTTACAGTGGATAACAGATTACATGTTTTGCTTTATGGTTGATCAGCTAAATATATATATTTCAAAGGAATGTCATATTATAGTCAACATTATGGCTCGTGTCCATAAACCCTATGGGATGTAGGGACATGTGATAACCAGTTCTATGTGCACTGTTTTAGTAGTGATTGTTGTACACAACCCTATAAGGCTTATTTGCATAAATGTGTACAAGGCACAAACACACTGATGATATTCACATTACACTACTTACTATAGAGATTGCACATATTCTATTCGATACACACAATATTACATTTGTGATATCCACAAAAATGCTTTCTTTGGCAAGAGGTGGAGTACAACCAATATTGGGACATTTTGTTTTGTCTTTATATGATCTGTAAAAATGTATTTTATTGATTTTTATATTACATATTTGCAATTATATTTATTTGTTTATTCATTTGCTGTAAGACACATTTGTGACATTTAGGAAAACATGCCGCTTGTGCAAGCACAAACACCTTGCAGCTGTCTTGATTTTTATATTTTTGTTTAATTTAGCCAAATAGTATTCAAATGCACTAATTGTCAACTAGATCCATGATATGACACTAATATAAAATTACAACAGCTATAGTTTGATGAACGCTTTGATATTTTGTTGAATTGCATCAAATTTTTATAAAAGCATAAAATCTCATTTCATGATGCTACATTTTTGTACAAAATATTCAGGCATCCTATTTAATTAACATCACATATTTTTGCAAAAGCCTCACTCACAGGCTTTGACATGATATATTTGATGTGAGCCAAATGGGGGCATTTAACAAACGGTTTTATCCTTTGAAAAAGCCCCTTGATCCATTGATACGGCAACATTTTGAGTGTAATTTTTTTTATTCATTGAGTGATGTTCCATTATTGTCCTTTCAAAGTCAAAATAATTTAAGAATGAATGTGTAATGTTTTCCTTTCACTTTATTATTTATTCAAACTTCCGTTCGCTCTGCCAATATTTTTGCTGCTGTTTTCCCTCCATTTTCTCCAGTGCCGATCAGAATATCTAGACAAATATTGAGGGCAAAGGTACACACGTATGAATTACTAACAGCATATTTTTTTTTATTCACACTTTGTATTGTGGATGCACAATGATTGAACTGATACAGTCTGCAACTGGATCTAAATAGTTTCATCCAGAGATTAAAAAGTATTGTTAAATTACTCCATGAATTATTAAATTAATCCTCAAATAGAGAGCTACCTTCGAACCCTTTAAAATGCAGTCTTGCATGAGGTAAAATGATATTTTCAGCAACTGCCTTGTAATTGTCCTGGTGACATACAGTTGAAGTCGGAAGTTTACATACACCTTAGCCAAATACATTTAAACTCAGTTTTTCACAATTCCTGACATTTAATCCTAGAAAAAATTCCCTGTTTTAGGTCAGTTAGGATCACCACTTTATTTTGAGAATGTGAAATGTCAGAATAATAGTAGAGAGAATGATTTATTTCAGCTTTTATTTCTTTCATCACATTCCCAGTGGGTCAGAAGTTTACATACACTCAATTAGTATTTGGTAGCATTGCCTTTAAATTGTTTAACTTGGGTCAAATGTTTCGGGTAGCCTTCCACAAGCTTCCCACAATAAGTTGGGTGAATTTTGGCCCATTCCTCCTGACAGAGCTGGTGTAACTGAGTCAGGTTTGTAGGCCTCCTTGCTTGCACACGCTTTTTCAGTTCTGCCCACAAATGTTCTATATGATTGAGGTCAGGGCTTTGTGATGACCACTCCAATACCTTGACTTTGTTGTCCTTTGCAACTTTGGAAGTATGCTTGGGGTCATTGTCCATTTGGAAGACCCATTTGCGACCAAGCTTTAACTTCCTGACTGATGTCTTGAGATGTTGCTTCAATATATCCACATAATTTTCCTTCCTCATGATGCCATCTATTTTGTGAAGTGCACCAGTACCTCCTGCAGCAAAGCACCCCCACAGCATGATGCTGCCACCCCCGTGTTTCACGTTGGGATGGTGTTCTTCGGCTTGCAAGCCACCCCCTTTTTCCTCCAAACATAATGATGGTCATTATCGCCAAACAGTTCTATTTTTGTTTCATCAGACCAGAGGACATTTCTCTCTCTTTCTTTTAATGACTCCAACCTAAGTGTATGTAAACTTCCGACTTCAACTGTATCTGTACTCCTGTCATTCTAAATGAAAAGACCCAGAAGTCCCAAGAAAATTATATTTCCTAGGTTCAACTTGCAACACAATTTACTGCAGGGGAGAATACACATTTTCAACAACTATCATCTCCGCTAAAATATAAAGAAATATCATGTTTGTTTTGTTTGTTACATATTTTTACATCTACGCTGCCTTGCTTGCTTATTTACATAAAAATATTTTCCAAAGAGTATACTTCTAAAATGCCTTGGATGTCTTTTATGGGGGTTTTTTTCAGCCTTTATTACAGGCCACGTTTGAAAGGTGCAGATCTATTCTGAACACAAAATATGCTTCTGAATGTATTTTTGAATGTTGTCTCACTCAAGCTATTACTCATCACTGTTAGCACACAGCATGCTTAAACGTTAATTTTTGTGGGGGGTGGGAGCACTTATCATACTATGTGTTTACAGCATATATACATTTTACTTGACTGAAGTATTAATTTCACAGTCACATGGTGTTTGTGACATGCTGTAAGCCAGGGTCGGCAGCAAGCAGCCCGCAAATGTGTTTTTTTTGGCCCCCCAAAGTTTTTAGTAAAATTAACTTTGTTATTTTGTTAAAGAACAATACAAAAATCACCAGGAATTCAGCATAAAATAAAATGAGGAAGTCTGTATTTCCACAAATAAAAAAAGAGCTATGAAATTATTGTTATTTTGAAATACAGTCTCTTTTTGGGCTTAGTAGTGGTCAATTTGCAGTGCACAAATTATTATTATTTTCCGGCCCCCCGACCATAAACTCTGACAAAAATCAGGCCGCGGCTGAATCTAGTTGCCTAACACTGCTGTAAGCGTTTCAAAGCTGTAATGAAAATGTTGACTCTGATTTCAGCCATGATTGGTTTTGTTTTTTTACTGAAGTACTCCATCTTTTGGAATCAATGCTTGCCAGCATGTTTTGAACCGTAGTATGCCATGAACATATATTTTACTTATTATGTATCATTACCGTGTAGTAACACTCAAATCCATGAACCTATGGAAACTGTATAATAAACGTTGTTTATCATAAGATTTACACGTGTTTTAGACTGTTTTCATTGATTCGATCAATATGGTTTGAGTACAGTGAACGGTTCAGTCTCTAACTAACCAGACTTAATTTTCATGTTACAGAGAAACAAGACTCGACGTGTAAAAACAAAAAAATCACAGGGCGCAAGTTATTCCAAATTCATCTCATGAAGGTGAGTTTCACCACAACCCAGAATTAGATTAGACACATGATTAAAACCTGAAGATATGCTTCTGACCAATGGCATAGGAGCTGGGGTGGACATGTCCCCCGCCAATGTTAGAAGCAGGTTAAATGGTCCTCCCCAATGAATATATTATTTTGAAAAACGAGTCGCCGTATTCCTTGAGGGACATTTATTTTGAAAAGGCATCCGCTGCTAGAACATGAGTCACTTCTCCCGCCCCCACTGGCTGCTTCATTCTCACCCTTGGTTGGTTGTTACCAGCAGTGTGGCAGTGTGTGAGTGAGAAAAAAAGCACTATTCGTCACATGCTTTGTAAACAACAGGTGCAGAGTGAAAAAAAATGCAAAAATGTAACAGTGCACGAGCAATAAATAAACAATGAGTAACGATAACTTGGCTATATACATGGGGTACCAGTACCGAGTTGAGGTAGATATAGGTGAAAGAGACTAGGCAACAGGATAGATAATAAACAGTAGCGGCAGTATGTGTATGTGATGAGTCAAAAGAGTTAGTGCACAAAGGGTCAATGCAGATAGTCCGGGTAGCTATTGGTTAACTATTTAACTAACTATTTAGCCGTCTTATGGCTCGGGGGTAGAAGCTGTTCATGGTGCTCTTGGTTCCATACTTGGTGCATCGGTACTGCTTGCCGTGCGGTAGCGGAGAGAACGGTCTATGACTTGGGTGGCTGGAGTCGTTTACAATTTTTTGGGCCTTCCTCTGACACCGCCTGGTATAGAGGTCCTGGATGGCAGGGAGCTCGGCCCCGGTGATGTACCGGGCCATACACACTACCCTCTGTAGCACATTGTGGTCGGATGCCAAGCAGTTGCCATACCAAGCGGTGATTCAGCCAGTCAAGATGCTCTCAATGGTGCAGCAGTAAAACTTTTTGAGGATCTGAGTGCCTTCTTCACGACTGTGTTGGTGTGTGTGGACCATGATAATTCCTTGGTGATGTGGACACCGAGGAACTTGAAGCTCTCGACCTGCTCCACTATAGCCCCGTCAATGTGAATGGGGGCGTGCTCGGCCTTCCGTTTTCTTTAACTCCTTTGTCTTGCTGA